ACGGCGAACACTGTTGTCATGTGGCAACAGGGGAGGCAATAACAAAGTCAGCGTACCGGGACGCTTGTCTGAACGCCAGTAATTATACAGTAGACCGTAGTGTGTGTGTGTGTGTGTGTGTTTGCACGGACTTGAAGCCTCCTGACAAACATGAACTCCTGGCCCTTTGGAGAGCTGCTGTGTCTGTTCATCACGTGATCTCAAGTCAGACACTAATCAACGATTGTTAGGCGTAACTCCATGTTCTTCTGTCCGGTGTTGTTGTCCTCGACTAACGAGATGAAAATATTTACTAAAATTTTAATTTTCAAGTGTCCTAAAATGCCACCGACGATTTCAGAAGCGTACGTTGACAAATGGCGGCCGTAAAAACAGAAACTTTAAATTGTTCGAACGAAACTCTACAAACTGCTACTAACGGGTCCTCGACTTGTCGGAATTCCATTCCTACGGTGCGACGTCACTCAATTTTCGCCGGAAGTCGGAACTTGCATACCATACGTAAGTCCCTAAGTCACTCGCCTACACTAACACAGAGGTAACATCGTGATCCAGGACATAAAAACATAAAAACACTCAGAGTTATGCCTGGGAGCCACAACGAAGGGCAAAAAGGTTTCCCCAAAAAAACAACACAAATGAAACGTAGCTGAATCCAATGTGAGGCGAATGTAAACCAAGCTGTCGTCCGCGTATAGTGCAACGTAACAAAGTATTTCTCGCTATTCTCACCAACTGGTTGTGAAATCCGTTTTAACGCCGTACATCAGAACGATGGACCAAGACTTTTTTCATAAAGTTAAGGGTTGGTAACCATCGCACACCAAGACAGCACAAGCACAGAGAGTGCATACATACATACATGTTGGCATGTGTGCACGTCTATTAGACGTCCTTCCTGTTCCAGGAGGTCGTGTCAGAGCCAACAGCAGGGTTTGTCTCTGATAATGACCCGACGCTGAAAGGCGTTCTCTGAGCTGCGAAAGCCAATTATTAGTCTTCAAAGAACATGATCAGCACAAAGACCTGCAATTAAACACACACACACGCACACCAACACACATGTATACACACTACACCCACACACGCAGTGGAGAACCCACTCTTTTCCATGTCTTTCTTCCTCTTCTTCTCTGCTTTTCCTCCTCTTTTGTCTCTTTATTGTACGGCGTCGTTGTCTCTCCGATCTAAAATTCTACTCCATAATTTCCTCTTTTATAAGTCTGTCCTCGCTCACATTTTTTGACTCCTCCTCCTTCTTTCAGCTGTCCTAAATTAGCATTTAAAAAAAAAAAAAAAATTCTGGAACGCTCACAGTCCCGCTCACAATAAATGTCAAAATTTTTTGTCGTACATCCACTTCCGGAGAAGGTGTTGTTGCGAAAGAATCGATAAGACATGAGAAGAAATGACTCCTTCAATAAAGATCTCTGAGATATGGTTTTGTTCTGGCGAGAAATGAAGTCAAGCTAACAGTTGAAAAAAAAAAAAAAAATCAAACCGTTTAAATATGATTTAAATGGATCCAATGAATGGAGACAAAATTCATTTTAAATTGTTTCGGAGTTTGATAGTAATGGTCATAGAAGATTGCGTATATATTTTCGCCTGATGTTTTCAAACCGTGACTCTAACAACAATATTTAGGTTCAGAAACAGGTTTTTTTTTTGTTTTTGTTTTTTTGTGTGTGTTGTACAAACTCAAAGCATTCAAAAATAGGTGTTTATTTTTATCACAGCACATTGTTAAACACCTACAATCCTTTTCAAACACACACACACACACACACACAAACGAACACCCGCCCACAGCCGCTCCGTGTGAATAATTTGATCCTTGGTTCCTCTAAACCTCTAATGAATCTCTCCGTCTGTTTGACTGACACGCAGCTCGTTATTTAAGGAGTTTGGTTTGGTGCCAGAGCAGGAGGTGGAGGAGGAGGAGGAGGAGGAAGAGGAGGAGGAAGAGGAGGAGGAGGAGATTGGGGAAACCAGACTTTAAGGCCAAAAGAAACAATTCACAAATGACGGTTGATGAGAAAATCAGTATTAAAGTGATACTGGATCCCCACTGGCCAGCATCAATTAAAATAAACGTCTGGGTAATCACACCGTTTAATACGATTTTAATGTTTTAATACAAAAAAAAAAAACCAAAACGCAACATTAAATTATTTAATATTCAAGCAGCTTGCTTAGATTAAAGGTGAAATGTGTTGTTGTGTTTCTAGAACAGTTGAAAGACACTCACGTCGTTTAAATCCCACATCGTACTCATAATTCAACATGTTACGTGGTATAAACAGGGGGAGGCGATATAGAGACACTGTTCTGACAGAAACACTTTTTTTTTTTTAACCCTTCATTCTATTAAACAGGACAGACACCCACACGGCCTTTTCACCCTCCGGTTGTCCTTTGGGTCTAGGTGACCCGGTGCATGTGTGGGTAGTAGACGTTAGCTTGTTGTTGTGTTTGACATCCGTCATTTTGAGCGGTTATCCCGGTCGCATATTATCATCCCCTGGGTCACAATTCCCAAAGGACAACGCGAGGGCTAAGCAAGTCAGAACGTTGTTACTAAAATGATCAAATCCTTTCTTAACGTGTTTCTTCTTCCTATGTGACCCATTTATTTTTTCCCGTAAAAAAAGTGTCGTAAATGTCCTTGTTTAAACTAGGAATGGCTCGATACAACTTTTTTTTATGCCCAATCTGATACCTTCTCTACTCCTCCAGCTTATGATCGGATCAGACGGGCTCTAATCGTCTTTTTTTTCCGATGTTCGGTTGTGAAGTTTTGACCAATATCGGGCCGATACTGAGTATCGAGATCGAGATTTCCCTGAAGAGAAGAGCTCACTCTAACCAGTTGTCTAAGAGAGCGGACAATTGGTTAGTGAAATCAAACACCAGAATCCAAACCCTAAAATATAAGCGATAGGCAACTAGATCGGTTCGACTTCGTACGTAGGGTGCTGAACATTCCACAAATTCATCACGAACCTTCACAATATTTTTTAAAAAAAGATTCACCATTTACCGGTAGACCAGTATTCAAGGACCCAGGACAACAACATGTGGGTAATACCGATCACAGAGAGCTAGCCAGACACCGCTGTCTATTTACCGACGGGGGAAGGATATCTTATCCAGGGTCTCCTCAAAGTCCGTAGGTTTGACAACCCAACAACTTTTTCCTGGTAGCTGTTCTTTCACTCAACTCATTTGAGTCCATGGTTTGTCAACTGCCTGGTCCCACTACTGGACCTACGATTATCGGTCTGGTACATAGCCTTGTCAGTTCGTGCCTAGACTACTGCAACTTTCGTCTCTCTCACTGCACTTTTACAAATCCACCCCAAAAATCCCATTGGTTAAATCTTGCTTTCAATGTTTTTTTATGGGTTGTTTTGCAATTTTCACTGAAATTCACTGATAATTAACATGTGTGACTGTTTTATTGGCCTGAACGAAAGCCAAAACTGAAAACGTTTACTACGCTAGATAATTAAGCTGAAGGGGCGAACTAAAATAAAAGCAGTACATAGGTACGTTCAGCCTTAGACATACCGCCGACATCAGCGAAAAAATACGTACGTTCAGCCTTAGACATACCGCCGATCGGACATCAGCGAAAAAATATTTTGTTGTTCACTTCTTATTAAACACTGTCCTACTCATTTTTACTGGTTAGAAGTTCAAACAAAGTACAGAGTACAGAGTAATCCATCAATCCCGGCCCCGGACTGTACTTTACCCATGTCTAGGCTAAAGGATCGAAGATGACACCATTTTTTCAGCATAGATTGATACTCGTCATACTTAGACTTTGTTACATGTATTTAAGATACTTTAAATTTTATCCATAATTTTAATACAGTAAAAATACAGCATTTTTCCCACAAAAATACAGCATTTTCAAGGATTTACGCTACCTGTAAAAACTGTAATAAGTGACCTCTTGTTAACCAAAGAACCAGCGGAGTGACTGGCGTCACAATGTACTTAAACTACAGTAAAATATTTTATGACCATTTTTTTTTCTGTGATGTAGGAAGCGTGAAAAAGTATCCACACTCATTTTCCTCTGTGTCACTTTTTGCCTCATGGGATAAAATTGATGGTTTTCATCTGGGAATATTTGTTCTTGTCCTGCTACCTCCGTCTCAGGGGAAAAATAGATCTGGCTATTTTCAAAACCAGACCTTTATTTAAAGCTTCTTCTTCTTCTTCTTTTGTCTCGTTATCTACCATGTCTGTCGCCAAAGGCTTTACTCTAATGACCTTTTCTCTGCCGCATCACATCTTTCCTTTTCAATTCCCCTCCTCTCCCTCCTCCTCCATTAATCTCTCACTTCCCCTTTTTCATCCCAGAGTTCCATCTCATCTGTGATCTGTCCATCTGCGTTGTCTTATATTCAGCAGCAACAATAACAACAAAACCAACACAGATGCTGATCCGGCACTCGGTCCAGAATCTGCTCCCCTCCCCCTGAGAAGTAACGGATGCTTCCGGATCAACTCAGTAGGAACAAAGCCGAAGAATAAAATAGACCTGGGTCTTTACCTTTGTAACGGTCCAGAGAGGTCGCCGGCGTCCTGCCTGTGACGACAAAAGACAGAAGAAGAAATGGTTTGTAAAACAATATGTGCGTTTATATCTTTTATTTTGATAAAAAGAAAGTGAATATAAGTTCTAAATAGGTTAAAAATAGATAAAAATGAACTGCAATAAAAATGTTCATTTGTATGTCAACATGTAAAGATCCATATGATAGAATAGAATTCAGGGATTTTTTTTTTTTAAATTTGGCCAAATTGTTTTGTTTTTAAGGAGGACTCATTTTTCCCATGCAGTTTTTTTTCTTTTTTCTTTTTTTGTAAATATACAACAATATGGTCCCATTAAAAACTTTTACAATAATTTAAGTTCACAATTATATTTATGGTACATTCTGGAAGTATAAAGTATTAATAAAAATTACTTTCTGAATATTCCGGCAACTAAATTCAAGTCATTTTGACAAAACAATATCCCAAATAAATAACACGACAGTTGATTCGATGTTGTGATTTTTTTTTTTTAATGCGATGTTGAGTTGACATTATTGATAACAGTAATACCCCGTGACAAACAAGAAAAAAAAAAAAAAACGGGAAGTCATCGCTTGTAACAGGGACATCCAGAGTCTCTGCTAACAGTTTCCACAGTAAATATTTTTATCGTCGGTAAAGTGAAAAGAAAACTTTCAGCTCCCATCGGGTTTTTCCTTCTTCAAATCCCTGCTGCTTCTTTATTTTCTCTTCCTCTGTTTCCCATTTGTTTCATCTATTCTCCACGTCTTCTTACGCTGCATGTAAATAAATTGGTCCCCGGACTGTTTAGCTACACATTGTCTCTGTGTGTGTGTGTGTGTGTGTGTGTGTGTGTGAGTGTTTGGTCTAAGTACACACAAACAAAGATACTCAGAGCCTCCTGAGCTCAGAGCTGCACCAAATTAGTGGTTTTGTGTCACAGAGGTAAATAAAATAAAAATGAATGAGGAACAGCAATATTAATAACATGTGTGTGTGTGTGTGTGTGTGTGTGTGTGTGTTGCTGCACGAGCATGTGTTTATTATGATTAAATGATGAGGGAGAAAACTCACCCCCCCCCCCCCCCCCCCCCCCCCCCCCCAATACGGCATCCAATCACGGCTCTTTGCATTTCAAAGACACACTCGTGTTCGTTTCATCTCCGGCTACAGACCGCTCACACACACACGCACACGCACACACACACCCACCCAACCACCT